AGCCATGCAAAACAAACACCCCCCATTTTACAGGACACATTCCTGCTAAAGAGCCCCCTGGTGGTTGAAGAAAAATCCACATATAAACCGGAAAATACAATAAATGAAAAAAAAATCTGGATGCTCTCTGGTATTGTTCAGGGGGCCGGACCAAATGTGGAGGCGGGCCGGATCAGGCCCGCGGGCCGTAGTTTGGGGACCCCTGACGTAACAAAAAGAAAAGCGGTGGATAAAAGACGACGGAGCAGCCGCTCTATTTGCTGCACTATGATTTGGAGGCGACTATGTTTTTTCATAGTTAACATTTTAACTGAAAAAACATAATAATGACCTTTACATATAATAATAAACATTTCCACATATTATCTCCGATATCCACCGGACTCTTAGTTGCGCGATATGTCAGCTGTTTGGGATTCCCCTCTGTTCTTACGTCACCGCGCTTTCTGATTCAGCAGGTTGTATTCTCGTTCCCAGTCAGGGTAAACCCCACAGGCTGAGATAAAAGGGCCAAGACGACCCAAATTGGGTATATTCAGTATTTAGTGGGAACACCAACATGCAGAAGCCTTATCTGACGGTTCACCCCCCTACCTCCGGGCCTCAGCAAAATTTCCAAGTCTTGACCGGTCCACGGTAATAAAAAGGTTGGGGACCACTGATGTTGGCTTCATCAGAACATGATCTGCAGCTCTTGCTGGAGCAGTTCGCAGCTGAGTGTGAAGCAGCCGGGATGAGGCTCAGTGCCTCCAAATCCGAGGCCAAGGTCTTGAGCTGGAAAAGGGTAGAGAGCCTTCTCTGGGTCAGGGGGGTCGTCCTGCCTCAAGTGGAGGAGTTTAAGTATCTGGGGATCTTGTTCATGAATGAGGGAAGAAGGGAGCGGGAGATCGACAGGCGGATTGGGGCAGCGTCTGCCGTGAAGCGGGCGCTGTACCGGTCCGTCGTGGTGAAGAGAGAGCTGAGTCAAAAAGCAAAGCTCTCGATTTACTGGTTGATCTACGTTCCCACCCTCATCTATGGTCATGAGCTTTGGGTCATGACTTAAAGAACGAGATCACGGATACAAGCGGCAGAAATGGGTTTCCTCCGCAGGGTGGCTGGGCTCTCCCTTAGAGAGAGAAGCTCGCTCACCCAGGAGGGACTCAGAGTAGAGCTGCTGCTCCTCCATGTCGAGAGGAGCCAGTTGAGGCTCAGGCATCTGGTCAGGATGCCTCCTGGACGCCTCCCTGGTGAGGAGTTCATGTCCCACCAGGAGGAGGGGAGACCCAGGACACGCTGGAGGGACGATGTCTCTCTGTGGGCCTGGGAACGACTTGGGGTTCCTGGAGGAGCTGGAAGAGGCTGGAGAGGGAAGTCTGGGCCTCCCTTCTGAAGCTGCTGCCCCAGCAGCTGAAGTTCCTCTTTATATCCAGTTTTCTTCCAGATGCCTGAATATTATGTGACATTTGCTTTTATTTGGAAATGATCATGATTCCCTCTGCTGTAAATTAGATCCACGTCTAAGTTTAGACTTGAAAATATAGTTTTTTATCATCATCATGATCAATCTGTACATAATGTTCTTTTAATAATGTGAAATCCTGCTTTAGTGTCAAACTGATATTTTGTAAATCGTGGGAAACACCTGGAGATTCTGAAGAGTTTCATAAATGTAGCCGACCTTGTTTATCTTAAATCCTGCTTCATAGCTCAGACTTATGACGATTTCACATATTTCAAAGCCTGATGTAATGTTCTGCGCAATTCACGTTCAGTTATAACATGATGCCCATCTTAATGCAATCATTTTTAAAAATAATTGTTGTTTTTCTCTCTTAAAATGTAATTTTATTATTAAGTTTTGCAGGTTGTAGGCGTAGAAACCAGGCAGTATGAAAAGGTTGTGTAAACGTTTCATGTACAAATATTAACAAATATGTTTCAACTATGTAAAAATTCTATTGTAGCACAGAAACAGCAGAGCAACATGTTGAACCGTTTCTCTTCCACCAGCTGGTTCAGTGATCCTCAATATTTCTGCTCGACCAGTGAAGGAAGGATCTGATGTGACTCTTCGTTGTTTTAACAAGAACACAAAGAAGACACACATAAGTGATTTTTACAAAGATGGCGTCCATCTCAGCACCAACTATAAAACCGGTATGACCCTCGGAAACGTCTCCAAGTCAGATGAAGGACTTTATAAATGCACCATTTCCAGAGCTGGAGAGTCTCCTGAGAGCTGGCTGGCTGTCACATCAGCAGAAGAAGGTTTGTATATGATACCTAAACCAGTGAACTGTATTTTTGTTCTCTAAATGAAACAAGTTATGAAAATCACAGGCATCCAACACATTTTCAGTATATGTGCTATAAACATCTAGTTTTAAACCTTCAGCTAAATGTGTCTGAATTCACCAGAGATTCTTCACTGACCTGAAATCTTAAATCTTCTTTCCAGGATCTAATGAAGAGACGAACATCATGACGAATCTCCTACTTACCTCCCCCTGGAGATTTTTAACCATTTTCACTCTGTTGTTCTGGATGGTTGGACTGATTCTCTACAAGAAATGCAAAGGTACCGCCAACGACGTCAGTAAAGTGTTACAAAGTAATGCGTTACTGACGTCAGACCACTTTTTTCAGTAACTAGTCATTTAACGCGTTGCTATTTCAAATCCAGTCATCAGATTAAAGTTACTTATCCAAATCACTTTGCGTTACTATTTGCTTTAGTATTGTAATTTTATTTCCTCTACGTTGACTGACCGTCGTTCCTGTCCAACATCAGCAGCTGATCTCCGTGACAGAAACGTAAACAATGGAGGGAGGAGAGAGATGCGCGTTTTATTGCTGGAAGAACAGGAACTATCTCTAGTTTATGTCGCTTGTTTTTCTAAAGTCACTTGCACATTTCATGAGTTGTGGCTTGTTTTTGAACGTGAAGTTCCGGATGATCGTCCTGCTGCGTCTTTGTAAATGTCAAGTTAATATATTACCTGTGAAAGACGTCGAGCTCCGCGCTGCGCCCCAGAAAACTGCAAACATATAGAGGCTAATATGAACAGAATGATAAACGTGAAAACAGCCACGTTCCCGTAAAGTTGCACAACTAAACACCATTATAATCATTAATATTAAGTTAAGTGTCACTAATCTGTGTGGAGCCGCAGCAGGAGCTCTGAGCTCTGACAGCAAACACAGGGCCGTGATTCTTGAGAATAGGGATGAAATGGGTCCTATGGATAAAGCACAAAATTTGAATAAAATATACACAAAATATAATTTTTTTCAAATATCTGACTAAACTAACCTGGGTCATGTGAGCAAAACAATGTATATTTTCCTGATGTTTGCTGAATATTTTTTTTTTATGTTAAACATTGTAGTTGGTGGATGATGCCTGTAAAATCCCTCATCCAGGAGCAGAACTCAATACATTATAATAGTTTAAAACAATAAAAGAAATACTAAAATTATATATTATGACAATTAAGTATAAGTATTGTTAAGGAAGAGAATATCTAAATTGGTTAACTTTGGAAAAAGTCTGGCTCTCTCTCTTCCTCTGGATCCCAGGTCCTCTCGGCGAGCCACATGTAGCCACAAGGAAAACAACATCAATGCGTGTTGACGTCATAGAATTACAGAGTTTAATCCAATATAAGACAATGCATAAACTTACACAGAAACTGCAGAACAACAGAGACATACATTCATTTACCTGACATAAATGGAAAGAAGAAGAAAAGCAAAGACGTGCAAAGACGTCTTTGGAGAGTTGCAAGAGCAAATCTCATTTGTTACTTCTGTGTAGAAAGTTTTATCTTCCTTTCTTTAATTTATTCAAATAAGGCGTATCTTTGCTCATCCAATCCAGGAGCTATCTCTGACCCTCTATCTGAAGCCTAAACCCCTGCCGTGCAGACAAAAGGCAGTTCAAAAGATCCTAGCAAACCATCTGCTGGAACTACAAGTAAAACAAAGGTCAATAGGCCAGAATAAGTTACTGATTTTAAAACCACAATTAGGCCATTTGGATCAAGACATGTTAAGTTTTAAAACTAGCTTATTTTAAATTTATTTTCTCAACAGTTCATGTTTTGTTTCATAAATTTACTTGTACTACTGCTTTACGGACGATTTTAAAGGTGATGATTACATATTTTGGTATCACAATCTGGGTAAAGCTGAGTCATCTGCACCTTATTTGAATAAATTAAAGATAAGAATACACATTTACTATAAAACTTTCTACACAGAAGTAACAAATTAGATTTGCTCTTGCAACTCTCCAAAGACGTCTTTGCTTTTCTTCTTCTTTCCATTTATGTCAGGTAAATGAATGTATGTCTCCGTTGTTCTGCAGTTTCTGTGTAAGTTTATGCATTGTCTTATATTGGATTAAACTCTGTAATTCTGTGACGTCAACACGCATTGTTGTTTTCCTTGCGGCTACACGTGGCTCGCCGAGAGGACCTGGGATCCAGAGGAAGAGAGAGAGACAAACTTTTTCCAAAGTTAACCTATTTTAGAATTTCTTAACACTAACCGACTGAGTTGAGTAAAGCTG